TCAGGTGGTCTACCACAGGCCCCTGCGCCGTGTCTGGATTCTGCCAACTCCTCCGACCAGTCGCGGAAGGGAGGAGGGGGACCCGGAGGAGCGAGACTTTTCCCCGAACGGTTTTGCTCAGCTGAGGCTTGTCACCTTGAGTTCTGTCCTGGCCCCAGCCCTCCTGGCTCGATCTTTTCTGGCCCTCAGACGGCTGACTGTTTCCCGCAGCGCGCCCGCGGCCTCGACTCCGCAGCGCCCCGGGGTGGGGACAGGCCCTCCCCGCGCTCCGCTGGCTGGCTTTCCTTTCTCCACGGATGGGCCTCCCACCACCGGAATCAGCATCCCTGCGGTTCCCGGGCCGCCTACCCAGACCTCCTCAAGCCGGAAAACCGGGGCGGGGCTGGCCGGAAATCTCACTCGCAGGCCTGGGAACCCCGCGGCATGAAGAGGAAGGAGGGGTCCGAATGCCCTCCATTCCGCCCCGGTGGCCCCCAAAGGCCTCGCCCCTTGTGGGCTGGGCCTGAGCTGGGGGCGTGGGCGCTCAGTACCGGAAAGTTATTTCAGTACTAAACTTCACTGCCCGCAGCATGCATTCCCCTCCCCCTCAACTGGTCGCCTGTCCCAGACGAAACCTGAAGCTCTTGTAGCTGTGTCCCCACAGAGCCTTCCTGCCCAGGCAAGGACCCAGTCGTCCCTCTGCCCCGATCCCCTCAACTCTTCCTGGGCACCAGTTCCCTGGAGTGCCTGGTGCCTGAGAGAAGGAGGTGAGGCCAGGCAGTGAGAGCCCAGGACTTTCCAGGCTCGTCATCTCTCCCTGGAGCAAAGGGGTAGGTGGCCTGGCCACGGCTTTAACCCTGCCTGCCTGGCCCTGCCAGTGCTGGGCCCTGCATCCTGACGATTCCCACGCAAGGATTAAAGGCTCTTACACCCCCACCGTGGCTTTGGGCCCTGACAACTCTCCCTTTCATCCTTTGCCAGACTAAGGTCCAGAACGTCAGTACTGCCTGGGTCAGGCAGAGGAGCCTTTGGAGGGCCCCACTCTGGCTGGCTGGAAGCTTGCAGGCAACTGTCCCCTTCCTGCCACCTGGAGCCACGGGAAGGTGCTCCTTATCAGAGGCCAGCCAGGGGAAGCTGGTTTGCTGTGGTCTCTCAAAGTGACCTTGGGCAAGTGCCTAGGGGCTCTTTGGGTGGAGAACCCTGTGATTCTAAGGAAAAGCTGCATACCTCAGTTTCCCCAAGTTAAACTGGGTCTGGGCAGAGACTCCGGCCATAGACACTGACCCCTTCCCCATTCGTCTCTTCCACAGCTGCAGTAACTATGACCTGGACTACGAGCTGTACAGGGAAGATGTTCCCTACAGGTGGGTGGGTCCTGCCCCCTCGGTCCTCTGGGCAAACAGGTGGGGCTGGTTGGCCTAAGTCCCTCTCTGTCCTGCCCCATAGGGTGTATGAACACCACAGGATCCCTCCACTCATCAAACGCGTGCCTGTCAAGATCCGGAGGACCCACGTGGGCATGGGGGTCAAGAGGAGCTTCAGTCCCCACAAGGCCCCCAGGAATAGCCAGCTGCCCCCAGGGCAGATAAAGTGTGAGTGAGGGGGCACAGCCCTCACCCGCAGCAACAGGGAGGAGTGGGCAGCCCCTAGCAGTGAGGGCAGGCCTGGGAGCCCTGGCAGCACTGCTCTCTGCCCCCTGGGCCCAGCGGGGCACCAATTCTGGCCCCTCTCCCAACAGTGCAGACTAAGGAGCTGCACTCCATCAGGGGGGAGCTGAGCCAGATCAAAGCCCAAGTGGACCACCTATTGGAGAGTCTGGAGCACATGGACCAGCAGAGGGAGCAGCGTCCAGGTCAGGCACCCACGAGTGTGGGCCCAGGCCACGCTCTTAGCAGGCTCCAGCTTTTCCCACTCCTGAGGGTGCCAAGGGTGCTCAGGGTCCTGCCTCTGCTTTTCCTGTCTGCAGGGATCCTCCCTGGCCCCCGGAGTGCACTTACCCCACTCTCTCTGGCTATTCCTGTGGCTTGAGGACTCTTGTGGCTTCTGGGTTGTCCTATCACCCCCACCCACTCAGCAGCTAGCTGGGGCTTCAGAAACCCAGCCATTGACTGGTTACTCTCCCTGCACAGGGACAGAGAACAGCGAAGAGAACAGGGGCTCTGGAAGTAAGGGTTCCTCAAGCAGAACCACTGAGCCCCAGCAGGAGCCCGGGGGCCAGAGGGCCCATCCAGAGGCACACAGCTCCGAGGACAGCACAGACCCGGAGGAGGCAGTGAGTGGCCTGGCACCTCCTCCCATCTTCCCCCTCCTTGTGGCCTCCCTGTGGGCCAGGGAGGGACTCGGACTTGTGTGGGAGCCCACAGTGGTGGGTTGGGGGAGAGGAGGCATGACTTCAACCACAGGCAATGCTCAGGATAAGATGGGCCCTGCCCTGCTTTTTATCCCCTCTCAACTCAGGCTTGGTCGGCTCAGCTGGACCAGTTCTGGGCTGAAATACCATCTCATCCTGATGGAGGGTTTAGGGGAGGGCTTTGAGCATTGTGGAGGGAATGTCACAGGTGTGCCTTGTGGCCCCAGATCCCTTGCCTGAGAATCACTTGGTAAGCTTGTTAAAACTCAGATTTCTGTCCTTTTCCTGTCCTGGGGCCCCCACCTGCTGCCCCTAGGGTCTTTAGACTGTCTGCATTGTACCATGCTCCCCAGGGAAGCTGTGGCACAGACCTTTCTGGATGGAGAATATCCACACCTGGATCTGATAATAACCCTGTGTGCATCATTAAAGGGCCAGAATGTTCCCTGTCCTACCATATCCTCCTTCCCTATTGGTGGTCCCTGAGGCGGACCAAGCCCCGCTGCTGTTTGGGCCATCTCAGCAAGGCTCAGGCTGCTGGGGGTTGGCAGTGACGAGCTCCCCTTCCTCCACCCGCCAGCTCTGCCCCTTGGCCTGCTGGGTTCCAGAGGGCTCTCACTACTGACCAGCCCAGAGTCACATCTGGAAAGACAGCTAGATGGAGAGAATGCTTTCTTTTGTCTGATAGTTCTGGGTTCCCAGGACTCAGGAAGAATCTAGAACAGCACTGAACTGCCAAACCTGCCAAGAAAGGGAGGTGGGGGTAAGGGGAGACTGGGAGATGTTAGTAGATGGCCCTCCCTTTCCCAGTCGTACGGTGCCTCTCAGCCCCCCTGACCCAAGCCCTGCTTCTTTTTCCTACAGGTGAAGAATCACGCGTCGGACCAGGAGGGCGGCCAGTAGGTTGGAATCCCTCCGGGCTCATTAGCTCCAGGCACCTTCCCGGATGGCCCCCTTCCTTGCCTTGTGTGGTTTTTCAAAGGCCTCCCGATGGCACCTGTGCAACCGGAGTCACCCATTCTGGAGTGAAGGCAATGGTAGTGGAGGCACGGCTCAGCCAGACCAGCCAAGAAGCTTCCCCACAAGGGTGGCTTTAGTTTTGGAAGTCGTGTTTCCAGATGATAGCCCGGGGACTGGTAGGGATGGGAGGGAGGCGGCCTGCAACTGCCTAGCACCACCTCACCATCCTCATCCAGTCTTGCAAGGGGCAGCTGGACAGGGACCCCTGGGAGCACCAGTCAGTCTCTCTGACTGCAGGTACTGCTTCGGCTGCTCTCCTCCCCTCCCGAGACCCCGCCAGTCCTGTCTAGGTGTGGAGCATCCTACAGCAGCTGACCTAGGCAGCTTTCTCCAGCCAGTGGTGCAGAGGAAATATACTTGTTCCTACAGTCCCCCTTCCAGTCTGCAACTGAGTTTTAAGGTCCTCGGCATGTGCCCCACATAACCCCTTTTAGTTCCAGACTCCCCATCCACCCTACAAAGCCATGCTTCAGAATAGAGGCATCCTTTTTATGTCCTGTTTCTACCTTGTCCCTTGCTGCTGTGATACTATGTATTTCAGGTCTGCTCTGGAAACATGTATTATATCAGAAGGGGAAAAATAAAATCTGCATTTCTTTTCCCTGGTCAGGGGCTCTTGGTGTGGTCTCTGAGTCTCATTCTGGTCCTTGGGGCTGCCCCAGGCCAGGCCTCCCCAGAGAAGCCGAGCAGACCTCTGAGACAAAGTTCAGCAGCTCATACCAAGCTGGGGCAGAGCAAGGACAAAGCTGCCCTGCCTTCCTCCAATCCAGACCTGAGCACAAACCCGAGGGGCTCAGGAGCCACACAAAGATAACCCCACCCTTCTGGTCAGTCAGCCAGCCTGGCTCTGCCCTACAGAATGGCCAGACTGCATCTGGTTTTCCAACATCCAGAAGATCTCACTCCTGGCAGTTCATCTGCCCTCTCCCAGGAGCCAAGACTGGACACGGGGCACCAGATAATGAAGCCAGCCTGGGCTCCCACTTCTTACCACCAGTGGAGGAGGTCCCAGGCTGTGCTGCTCTGCATATGGCCAAGGAAGGGTGGGATCTGACTTCCATCCAGAGCCAAACCCTTCCCAACTAACCAACCCTGAGCTGTAGTCTTGCCCAGCACCAAACCAGAGGCTAGGGGGGTGCACCTGGAGCTCTCCTGGGGCCATACAACCCTCCCCACTCTTGTCACACCTCAGCAGTGGCCCAACTCTGGCACTTGAGGGGCAGCTTCTTCTCCTCCAGAATACATTTCCCTGCATCAACCTTTTCAGCCTGTCTCTTCTGCTCGTGTTAGTCTAAGGGACAGGACACATTTAAGACAATGCTGTCCCAAGCCCTTGACACCAGAGGTCCAAGAACAAACTATCCAGCTCAGAAAAGCCTTGCTCCTTTAAATCCTGTACCAAGAAGAACCACAAAAGATTTTTTCAGATATAAAAAGGTTTTTGTTTTGTTTTAGCTCAGATATAAGTGAGAATTCACAGCCCCCTTGTCCATTCTCTTAAAAGCAGCCCAATTATATAGGCAGGAGTCACTGGCTGGCCTGCATAAGGTCCATCCCTTACAAGACAATAGCTCCAGGTCCCGTTTTCCAGATGAAGTCCAGCTGAAGTCTTTTCCAACTTGGGAGTCAGGCTGCATCGCAGATTTCTTCAACTGGGTCGTAGATGGGAGCCAGCTCAAGTAGAAAGTGTCTTTAACGGAACAGCTTGTAAAAAATCGTTCCAACACAGCTGTCCAGAGCATCAGTTTTGTGCGCACCTCCCCAGATCCTCTCCCGTGCTCCGAGTTCTCAGCTCGGCGCAGTCTGGAAGCCGACGGCGCAGGTCCTTTCGGGGACGGCGGCAGCTCAGTCCACGGCGTCCGTCGTTGCTTAGGCTTCTGGTTCACGACGGTGCCGTGGAAGCGTCCCTCCGGCGGGCGGCCCGCACCAAGCACTGCTGCAAGACGGGGTAGAGGCGCTGGCAGCCCTCGAGGCCCAGGCGCACGGCCTCGGCCCAGCTCTCGGTCGGGCCGCCCTCCCCGCTGCCCAGGAGCCCGGCCACCTGGTTGAGCACGGGCATGAGCGCCACCGTGAGGCCGGCGGCGGCGCGCTCCTCCTCGAGCCGCGTGGGGTCCAGCAGCCAGGTGGGCGCGGGCCCCGGCGCGCGGCTCAGGCCGCAGCCCACCACCAGATCGTACATCTCCACGCCCGCGTCGGCCAGGGCGAGCGCGGCGGCCGTGAGCGCGGCGGCCAGGGCCGAGCCGCCGTCCTCCAGCAGCAGCGCCGACACCTCGAGCT